CAATCTCATTTAAGCAAGCCATGGAATGTTACAATTCTGAAAAGTGGTTGAATGTCATGAAAGAAGAGTTAAAATCAATGAGTGACAATAAGGTATGGGATCTAATCGAGTTGCCTGAAGGTTCAAAACGAGTCAGATGCAAGTGGGTCTTTAAGACCAAACGTGACTCAAAAGGCAACGTTGAGAGATACAAGGCTAGACTTGTTGCTAAATGATACAATCAAAAGGATGACATAGACTATAAAGAGACCTTTTCTCCGGTTTCAAAGAAAGACTTTTTAAGAATTGTTATGGCTTTGGTGGCTCATTACGACTTAGAGCTCCACCAAATGGATGTAAAGACCGCCTTTCTGAATGGTGACTTGGAAGAGGAAGTTTATATGGATCAGACAGATGGCTTCTTGACTAAAGGTAAAGAAAGTATGGGGTGTAAGTTAAAGAAATCAATATATGGGTTGAAACAGGATTCCAGACAATGGTATCTTAAGTTCAATGATACCATCACGTCGTATGGTTTTGTAGAAAACATTGTTGACCGGTGTATCTATATGAAGGTCAGTGGAAGCATGTTCATCATTTTAGTCCTGTTTGTTGATGACATTCTTCTTGTTACTAATGATGTTGGGCTGTTGCATGATGTAAAGGAATTTCTCTATAAGAACTTTGCGATAAAAGATATGGCTGAGGCTTCCTATGTGATTGGAATAAAAATATTTCGTAATAGATCACAAGGATTACTGGGATTGTCTTAGAAAGGCTACATTAACAAAGTATTAGAGAGATTCAAAATGAAAAAGTACTCTTCAGGGGTAGTTCCAATTCAAAAGGGAAACAAGTTTAATGAAATGCAATGTCCCAAGAATGAGTTGGAGCAGAAAGCAATGGAATCTATCCTCTATGCATCAGTGGTCGGGAGTTTAATGTATGCTCAGACATGCACTCGGCCTGATATTAGTTTTGTTGTTGGAATGTTAGGCCGATATCAAAGTAATCCCAGAATGGACCACTGGAAGGCTGCAAAGAAAGTCCTTAGGTATTTACAAGGCACCAAGGACTACATGCTTACTTATAGGAGATCTAGTTAACTGGAAGTGGTTGGCTACTCGGATTCAGACTATGCTGGATGTGTAGACTCAAGGAAATCGACCTTTGACTATATCTTCTTGTTAGCTGGAGGTACGATTTCATGGAAGAGTGGAAAGGAGTCTATTATTGCTACGTCTACCATGGAAGCGGAATTTATGGCGTGCTTTGAGGCCACTATTCATGCTTTGTAGCTGCGAAAGTTTGTCTTAGGGCTTGATATTGTTGATAATATAAAAAAGCTGCTAAGAATGTACTGTGATAATTCCACAGCCGTCTTCTTCTCAAAGAATGATAAGTATTCAACGGGAGCAAAGCATATGGACTTAAAATACTTATCAGTGAAAGAAGAAATGCGGAAACAGAAAGTGTCTATTGAGCATGTTGACACTAATTTAATGATAGTGGATTCGCTAACTAAGGGATTGCCCCCTAAAATGTTTTCTGGCCATGTTGGTAGAATGGGCATTATAGACAAGTCCTTGTTAGCATGATTGTGTGATTCACATATATGTGTATAGATTTTTTTGCTCATATTATTGTAGACATTTTGAGAATTCAATAAAAGTATTGTTTCTGCTTGTTTACTTGTTATCTGAATTGTGTAAATGTACATGTATGGTTTGAGTTTGATAACAGGTTGAGTGTTAAAAACACATCAGAGTTACAGTCTGTAGTATGACTGATTAAAGTTGTTTTGATTTGAGTTGGTTCTGTGATACTTGAAAGGAATCATGTCGTCAAATGACTTGTGATTGCCATGATCTGATCAACTTAAATCATTAAAAGATGATGACTTGATATTATCAATAATATGCGCACTTACAGTTCATTGAATCTTCAAATCGTCACATAGGCCAAGTGGTAGATTGTTAGATTATTTTAATAATCTTATTATAGTGGCCTGTGTAACTTATAACATGACTCTAATTAATGATTTAATGTGATGGTAGTTAAATATGAAATATAGAGTCATTGAGGGTGTAATTGTAAATACAATTATAAGGAAACTATCCCCTCTCCCTTCATATAAATAAAAGAGCGGTTACCAATTAGGGGTGACGGTATTTTCTATTCTTTCACTTTCACGGTCTCTGAGTGAGCTTACGGTAAACGCAAGAAAGGAACTTTCTTTCAACCATCTGAGAGGAGCTGAAAGAAGAAGGAAGAGTTTGGTAAAATACCAAGGGATCAACGATATCAAAGAGAGAGGTAACATCAAGGAACAATGGATTCAGGTTAGTGCTCTCTAAACCCTTAATTGTATGAGAACCATATATTGTGTTGTGAGAGCAACATAATTTAAGATCTCTAAGGAAAAATGTAATTTCATAATAGTCATTGCATAATGGAAATTACATAATGGATTAAAGAAAATTCTAACAAGCATATCTTCTGATAAAGATAACAGAAGAAGTCTTAGCCGAATAGGGGATGACGACTATGGTTATTTCGATAATGAAGATGACTGCTATAGAATCTCCCTGTAGCAAAATCAGCCAGAAACATGACATAAAGAAAAAGAGATCTGACAAAAAGTAAAAGAAGAGACTCGACATAAAGAAAAGAAAATTTGACAAAAGCAAAAGCAAGAAAAACAAGAGACTCGACATAAAGAAAAAAAGATTTGACAAAAATAAAAGCAAAAAGGACAAAAGACTTGACAAAAGAAGAAATTATTGCCAAAAGGAATATTAGAATATGAATTTTCCTCTCTATAAATTGTAAGCTCTGCTACATTACGAGGCACGAGAAAAACTAGCCCTTTTCATATTCTTTGTAATATCCTATCTTCATTGAGGATTATCAAAACTTTTCTATTTGAAGTACAAGATTTGTGACAACAATATTGTAAGTTTTTATCAAATTTCAATATAAGAAATTTTTGCATATATTTTAATGCCTTATTACATTGATGAGTTTGCTGTTATAAATTTAATAGTACATCGGTATGATTTTAGAAATATTTTAAGAAAGAGTACAAAACAATATTATAAAATAGATAATATTTTAGAAAAATATATTATTGTAAAAGATATGAAAAGAATGGCAAGAGATTTAAATATAATAGCTTTTTTAAAAATGAAAATCGTTTACATCATAATGTTTATATTTATTTTAATTCGTTTATTTTCCATTTACAATAAATTTTTAATTAGAACACACACACACACACACACACACATATATATATATATATATATATATATATATATATTATATATAATTCATACCAAATGAATTAATTTAAGGATTAAAATAGAATAAATTAAGATATTATCAATTAAAATAGAATAAAACATTATAAACAGAATGAAATCACTAACATCTATAGAAATAACTAAGTATATTTATAAATTATCATAATACATTAGAGTTTCAAGATTACATTCAATCTCAAAAAATATATTAGTCACTCATGACAATCATTATAATAAAAGAAAGAGAAAAAAAAATGGATGAATAATAATTCCTCAATATTTCTCTCTATATGCTCTGGTCTCTTGCTCTTTTCTCCTTTTGCACTCTCTTCTTTTTCTTGATTTCCTCTTTCTTTTAAGGGCACTTTAATGAATTCTCGGATGAAATTTTACTTGAACAAAAATAGGCAATGGCTAATTTATATCTCATGTAGTTTGACTCAAGCGAGTGTTTCCTTCACTTGAGCAAAAAGTGCGCAGATTTGATTCTTCAACTAAGCTCTCTTTCTTCTTCTCTGTTGGCCTTTCACCTAACTTTCTTGTGAACAAAGAATGTTAACAATAAGGATCAATGAAAAATACTCATCTTAGTCTTTTAATCAAAATAATTATTTAATTTAAAATCTCTTAAATTAGTAAAGAATTAGGATTCAAATTCATATTATTGAAAACAATACCCTAATTCATGTTAAAATTTACAAAAACTTCACTAATAAGCTAGCAAGCAAAAAATTTGTTTGTCAAATCAAAATAATTTTTTTATTTATAAAATATTCACTAATAATTTTTGTAAACAAATTATCTTCCTTTTTAGAAATAAAATAATAAAAATTATTATTCAAGATTAATTAAATATTCAAAATTATAATAAATTTACACAATAAATTTATAACCATTTTTATAGTAATCATTATTTACAAACATCATGATGCTAACACATTTCTTTCACACAAATGATTCCAAACTGACATTTAATTTTAAAAATAACATTTTTCTAATTTTTTTTTAAGTAAGCTTTAAGGGCAAACCCTTCTAATTTTAAAAACCATTATTTCAATCAATTTTTTTCAATGCTCCATTTGTTGTCCGGTTGTAACCATATTACGAGTTGCGACAACCCCAAGGTGCGTTGTCCTTAATCCCGTTCAACTTTTTTTTTCTTTCTAATAAACGGGGCTTAAGAAAGCCTAAAAACAAAAAAAAAGAAAAAGAAAAAACCTAACAACCACCCTAGGTGCCAGGAACCAAAGGTATCCAGAGTTAAAAGGGAAAGTAATTCAGAAGGAGCCTTATCCCGTTCAACTTTCCCTAAAAAAAAAGTATATAAAATTACTGTAAGATTAGAATATATCTATTTTTAGCAAATTTTTCAGATTACCTCTATCTTGTATTTTTCAAAAATGTCAACCTAAGGCAAAACACACACGGAGAAATACAATATTTGTTTTAGTGAAACATACTTTCACAAACAAAAGTAGTTTTAATTTGACATAACCAAACATTTTTTTTTTCAAAAAGGGTAAAAAAATTACGCACCTCAAACTTAATTTTAGAGTTTAAAAAAAATTGCTATAGATCATCTTCAAAATCATAGAACAGTGGGAATTATTCCAGTACTCATCCTTAACGGATTGTCAAACATATATAGTTTTTGGATCATATTTAATGAATTTTAAATATATATATATATATAATTCAACATTTTCCCCAGGGATAATCAATAGGTATAAGACCCATTTGCCATTCATAGCCAACAGGCTTGCAATGCTTGTTAAACGATTGTCAAATTTATAAAAACAACCCTGTCCTATAATACTTACAATTTCATCCCCCAAAATGAGGCCCCTCACCATCTCATGAAAACCAAAATAAAAATTCCTGAAAATCTACGTCGGCCACAACCCAAAACAGCAATGTGTGTCAGGTGTCTTCAGAGGGCAATGTTCCAAAGCAAGAGGGGCTATTGCAAAAGCATGGCAATCCATTAGGCCTTTTCCTGATTTCACCATAGCTAAAAGTAAGCTCTTCATCTTCCTGTATATCTTTTGAAGCATAGAAGCAAAGCCGGGGAAACAAAGCTCCTGAACTTCTAACTAGCTTTGTGCTTAAATTACCACCATCACATGAATGATTAACAAACCGTGCAACATTTCCTATTCTTGTTGCATCGATGTTCAGTCTCAAGCATGCCTTTCCAGAAGGAAGATGTTCCCTTACAACTAAAAGAGCAGAAGAGAAACGACCCTGCAAAGCCAGTTCATCGTAATATTGATGTCTCCTCTGTGCTTCCTTGGTAGTTAAGAGTTCACCTTTTTCATACAGGAAACCACGATTTAATTTTACAAACACACAAATGGGGATTAACAAAAAGCCATGAATAAGAAAATAACTAAGGTCATGTTTGAATGAACTTGTGGACAAGTCTTTATAAGAGAAAAAATAATAATATAAAAAATAAATAAAACTTCTCTCATAAGTTAAAAATAACTTATCTCTTCAAGTTATAGAAAAGTTAAATGAGAGTAACTTTTAAAAAACAGAGAAGTATGTTAATTTTAACTTATAGAAATTTTATTCAACTTTTTATATTATTATTTTTCTCTTACGAGGACTGTCCACAAGCTCATCCAAACATGGCCTAAATGAACCAAGAAATTATCAACAATCCCATTAACTTTCACAAACACTAGAAGGTAATCTCTTCCAAGATACATGTCATCAAAATATAAAAGGATACTTTAACTAACATAAGCAAAGTAGTTGTATAACTATCCAAATTAGTTAATAGATAGGTGATCCAAGCCCACCCATGTGTAGGTTCTGACAAGCTAACTTACAGTCTTTATCCAATATCCGTAGTTAGACCTAGTCATACACATTCGAAAAACCAACTTGCATAAATATGACAAAGTATTGGCATATCAATTTACTGAGTTTTGGAAGCAAATTGACAACAAATCACAGAAAAAGTGTAAAAGTTCAGGAAGCATTGTTCACCTGAAGCTACAAACATTAAAAAGCATAATACTTTAATATCTAACCAATTAGGAATCAGCTACATAAATGTCCTACGTTCAATTGAAGAAACAGAGGTAAATAGAAAGGTAAAATTGACAAAAGATCAATATACCACACAATCCCTACCCTTGTAGTAGTATTTCTGAAGAGGAGGGATCCTAGCCCCCACAATCACACTACAAAGTTGTAAAACTGAAACCTTAAACAATCAAAGTTTTATCTTGTATGATATTTTTCTTGCCCTATTATTATTCTAAGAGCCTCGTAATCTATAAGCCACTTGGGTCCTATAGGCTAATAGCCTGTTTGTTTCCCAGTTCAACCAACAAAACAGTCTCACGTGAAAACTCAACGCTTATAAATAAGCATGCATGAATTACAAAGCAAGTTCAACAGATGTGAATTTATTTTTTCAATTCTATATGAATCGATTGTTGTCCATTTCCAAACAGGCCATAAATTGTGTTGAGACAAGTGAACCCACTAAGGCAAACAAAGTTCCTCAATGTCAGTTTTCTCCAGTCACACACGAACCTAAGACAATGCGCACAAGGGATATTAAGCTCCTTCCCACTTTTCTTACCCTTCGGATACAACAAACAATTGAACTAATAACTAAAAATATAAAATAAAGAGTGCTCACAAATTTCACATCTTCATAATCAAATTTCACATCTTCATAATAACCTTCTGATGCTCATATTACTCACATAAAAACATAATTGTATTACACACGTTTATATACATTGAACTCAAATAGAAAATAACACAATTTTCTCCAACAGTTAAATTCTTCTTTATCATTAGAGAATAAAGAAAGTCATATTCAAATAAACAATATTACCTGCGTACTCAAACACGAATTCCCCTTTCCGAATGAACTGGTCAGCACACAAACCCCACCCTTTCCTCTTATCCCTCACAATCTTCACCCGAACCGCGACCCCATTCCGGGTCAACCGGTTCCCACATTTGAGCCCACACCGGCAACCCGGCCCACACTCACGGCCCACGTCATCCTGCTCATCAAGGGCCAAACAAGGACAGTCGGAGCCCGCACAGGATTCGCAGTCGCAGCCGGACGCGTGGACGAGACTCACCGATTCAGCGCGTAGCTGAATGGGCGCGGAGGGTGAAATTACGGAAGAGGCCCCCCAGGGTTGGCGAGAGAGGAGTGGGGAGGGGAGAAGGAGGGAAGGGGTGTAGAGGAAGTGGGCGTAAGGGTAGGGATCGACGGTGTTGAGAAATGGGACTGGAAAGTTCTCGAAGGTTCTCGAAGCGTCTTCGGAGCGGCGGAGAGTGATGGAGTGTGAGAGTTGGCGAAGGGTTGTGCAGGTCATAGAGACGTTGGCGAGTTCTGAAGGAGTTAAATATGGTAACACAAGTTCTGCCCATTCATGCAGAAGAAGAAGCTCTTTCCGGTTATGGCGTTTTAACGGAACGGCTTCTTCTTCTGCCATTCCTTTTTGTTCAGTTACGCTTCTCTGAAAGAAGATCCTCGCCCTTTGTTCAACTGTGTAGCTAGGGATGAAGGGAATTTGGGAACTAATAGCAGATTTTTTTTAGTAAGATATATTTTAAAAAATAAATTTAAAAGATTTAAATTTATAAACGCACTTATTTATAATTAACTTAAATAAATGAATGATATTTTAGCGCGTACACATGATAAGAAAACTAATGAATGATATTTTTTTTAAAATTATAATATTTTAAAAATCAATTAAAAAATTCTTTATTTAACTATTAATAAATTTACCTTTACTTTAATATTATTAGTTATATTTTTTGTGTGTGTTAAATCTATGTTTAAAGACTTTTTTGTGTTTCTAAACCCATACTAAATGAGACTTCTATGGAAAATATTTTTAATTAAATATATTATAAAAATAAATTTAGTTAAGTTATTTTTCCGACACACGTGCATAGAAAGAGATAGCTTAAATAAACTACATGAGCAAATTAGATTTAAAAGAAATATAAATTTTGAAATAAATAGGAAAAAAGGGATTAATATGAAGATATATTATTTTTAATAATTGTTAAAAAAAATTAGAGAATGTGTTTTTTATTTTTAATTAATTTTTCAAAATTATTTTAGAATATTTTTCAAATATTGTTGATTTTTTCTTATTGATATTCTTGTAAACATCTCAAACTTTTTTTGTGTTTTATTATTTAAAATTTTTAATGACATTTTGATCAATATTTTAAATTTTAAACTAATAATAATGGTTTCAATTGCCCCAACATAGATAGTTCAGAAATTAAAAAATAAATCAAAGAATAATTTAAAGAAGTTATTAACAATTAAGACTCTATTTGAAATGGTTGTTAGTTTTAAATTTTGATGGTATATGATAAATTTTGAGTTTGAGGATTTTTGAAGTAAGAGTAGAAGTTTTGAAATTTAAAATTTTTTGTAAATTTTGGGATAAAAAATAATATAACAAGACAAAAGAGAAAAAGGAAAGGAACATAGAGGAGTAAAATATCCAATATATTAAAATTATGAGTTAAATGACTTTTTAAAAGTTTAAAAGTAAAAGTGAAAATATAATAATAAGAGTTAGATTTAAGGATGACAATGGGTAAAATACTTAATAGACCTCCGCAAAATTTACTCATAATAGGTAAAGTATTTCTCGTTATATGGGTACGAGTATAGTTATGGGTAAACACTCATAAAATTTAATGGAGATGGATGTGGGTATGGGTATCTAAGTACCACCTATCCCATACCCCATATATATATATATAGATCCCTTACCAAAACTGTCAATGCTATTTCCAAAATTGATTCTGAACATTATTCTGAAACAGATTTTGTTTTAGCTATCAATCCTATCAATAATTGGAAAAATTCTTCCAAGCTTTATTATAATAGAGCTACTGCTCCTCATCTTATTTTAGAAGAAAAACAAGATTTTATTCAAAGTTTCAATTCTAATGATATTTATATTTAGAATATTGATGGACTATCTGAATATAATATCATTGCCAAACTCCAAAATATGTCGGTTGTCACCATAGGCTATTTTACTAATCAAAATATGCCTGAAGATACCATTGTTTATATTCTTGTCGCTGGATTTACTGGCCAACTCAAAGGTTGGTGGGATAATTATCTCACGAAGCTGATAGAGAAAACATCCTCTCTACAGTAAAAATAGATGATAAGGAAAAAACTATTGTCAGTGACAATGAGCGTCTCCCTGATGCAGTGTATACGTTGTTATACACAATATCCCAACATTTCCTAGGTAGGCAGTAGCAAGACTACTAAATGAAATGCAAAATGTAAATAGTAGAATATAAAATTGAATACTAAAACATAAGAAAATAGAACGGCGGTAAAACTAGCACAGATCTAGTAGAGAGAGAAGAGAAGAAAGCTAGACGACGGTAGTCCCGTTCTAGTTTCTTATGTTTTAATATTCAATTTTATATTCTGCTATTTACATTTTGCATTTCATTTAGTAGTCTTGCTACTGCCTACTTTCCTTTTAATCTGTTCATTGTTCTTTCCTTGATCTACTTCGGGTTATCTGGTATCAGAGCCTGATGGGGAAGTAGGAATATAACTGTTAATTATTTGTAACTATATTCTTCTAGATCTGGACTTTAAAATTCTTTATGAAAGTTTTGTAACCATGGTTTATAGGCTGGACAGCTGACAGGCCCTTCGGGTGAGACCTGTAATGGTCGTCCCTGTCTGTAACAACGCCACGAACTAATGGTTCTGAAATATTACTTTTGTACAGTTCTTTAATTTTATGAAAATCCTTTACTGGAAGTACAACAGTTCTTAGTTCTTTTGAATAGGGCTGTAGCAGTAAGACCCGTGTAGAGAAAGGGCAGTAAGACTAATTTGACGATGCTGTATTCAAAAGGAACAAAGAACATAAGAAGCTGGTGGCTATGGTAAAAGAATTTCAGAATTTGTAAATGTGTAAAAAAAAAAAAAAGTCCACAAATAACCAGATCTAGTTGAATAAGTTATAAATAATTAACAGACATATTGTTACGGAACCAGATAAAGGTAATGTGCCAGAAGTATTTTATGATGTCTAGACTTTTGCATTCTTTTTCTTGCATCTCTTTCCGTTCTGGCTCTAGTTCTTCTTGTAACATCCTCGTTTTTCCTAAACAGTTAATTTGTTAATATAGTTATAATTTAGATTATAATTCTTCAATTTTTGAAATAAAAATAAAAATAAAAATAAAAAAAATAAAAATGCTCGTTTATACCGGTTAAAATTGTTCTATGAGGATAAAAATAGCATTTTTAATCTAGAAGAATTATTTTAAATAATAAAAATTTATATTTTAATTAGAAATAATATTTGGAGTGTAAAAATAATTATTTTGGTAATTATTGCTTATTTTTGAATTTTTGGTAAATACTGTTTTATGTGTTCACAGGAACTGTGTGATTTTTTTTTTCCTTTTCTTTTTCTTTTTAAGTGATAACCAAAGAGATATTGATGTCAAAAATTATGTTATAAATATTTTAATTGTTTGGCATAAATTATTTTTATTTTTGAGTTTTATTCATAATTATTTTATTTAATTACATTAAAATAGTAAAATAATTGATTATTATATTATTATTTCTTTATATATTTGACTAAATTGACCATTTCTTACGTAAATCTTCTTCTTCTCCAAGTCCATAACCTCTTCTTCTCCCTTATGCCATTTTCATTTTCTTCCACTCATTTAAGCTTGTTTTAAGGTATGTTTTTAATATATATCCTTAATTAAGCTTAATTAGTTGTTAATTATCATTTCATCCGATTAAAATTTTAAATTTTTTCTATTTTTGGCTGTCATGAACAGTAAAAATGGGTCTTACTTTACTTCAAAATTATTGGTTTTTAAACTTACTTTCTTTTGTACTATATGTAGACTATGCATGGCTTATATTGTTTACATAATTAGTTTTTCAAAAATGTGATTAAAAAGCATTAAACCCTCACAAGGGTTGGCTGCCATGTAGTTTTAGAGAAGGTGAAGTGAGTGTTTTTCAATTCCATTTTATTCTTTTATATTAGTTAGATCATAGAAACTAATTTTGTGTTAATCGGACTTTTATAGCAAAAGTTAGAAAATTTCAATTTTTACATATACATATAAGAGTATAAAATTAGCATCTCCTTAGTATTAATTATGTTTAGGCATGATTAATTGATTAGGTTGATCGTTTCGAAGATTGGATTGTTCGAGTTTTCTAAAGAATCAGAAAAAATTCATCCATATCTTCATCAAAGAATATCCGTAAGGTAAGGGGTGGGATAATTTTATTTCAATAGGTGGCATTAAGAACCATAAGGGAATGATTCTCTATTGTTCTAATCAAATAAAATGAATTTGGGTTGTTTTAGAGCTATCCCATAATTTTTAGAAGATTTTGTTATAGCACTTGACATGTGTGAAAGGTTGCCTTAGACCAGGAAATTGATTGAACAAGGACTCTTCCTTATATGTAAGGTCTTTTGTGTATTTAAATTAATGTAATGGAATGATTTATGGTTGAAGTGCTGTATTGAAATATTTCTTTATAATTGGTTGAATTCTCATTATGTGCATGTGTAGATATTCTTGTTGGTAGGAATGCCATATAATAGTAAAGATTGGAAGTAATATAGTTTCATGTGGTGTGAGCATATAGATTGATATAATCTAAATGTCCATTAAGACTTGTTGGAAAGAAGAAAATATGTTTTTAAGGTATATATATATAATTATCTATTTTATATATAGTACAAGTATCTTTTGACTTCTTTTGAAAATAGATTTAATAAAAATAAATAAATAAATTATATTACTGAGAAAGTAGTATTGGATATTTGGAAGGCTTGAATCATTTTTAAAATGATTAAGTTTTAAATTTTTAAGCATAAAAACATATTTAAAGAAAGAGGGGAAGATACGACTTCCATGGATTTTGAGATGATGGAGGTGGAATTTAATGAATTAGAAGTATTCTGGATTTTTTCTGGTTGTTTTACAGGAAGAAGAAAATTTTGGAATATCTGATTTACAGAGGAGACTCTGTCGAATTTTATTGAGAAAAGAAAAAGTTAAGGATTGTACTTAACAGAAAAGAAAAATTAAAGTTTTTCTCTAATTACATTAATTAGGAGTGAAGACATGCATCATGAACATGTGATAGTGTGATGAGTGGACAGGGAAGTATAAGAAATCTAGGGGCGGCTCCAGGGTAGTCTTGGGGATAGTGACGTGTGATTGAATCTGACAGTGGCCAAGGCTCGCCATCTTGTGCTGTAGACTCTCACTGCAAAACTTTACTATCCTGACTGGTCCCGAGAGATTCTTGTATTAGTAGAGCTGTTACTGTATTATGAGATGAACAAAGTTGGCAGATAAGTAACAGTGAAACTCCTGATCCTTCCCTGAGTAAAAGAAACATATTGATGGTTTTGGGCCCACATGCATGTGTCAAAATGTACTAAGTTATAATAATGGACTTGCATCACTTCTCATTCATGGCATATGCATTTGCTTGGTAGATTATGGGTATTGATAATTAATTGTGTGATTGAAACCCTTATA